GATATAGCCGAAAGATCAAATCTGTCGAAATTTGTAAATTTGGCAGATTTTTTCCGTAAGCGCATTGCAGAGGCCATAACTTTAAAATCAGTAATGCTTTTGCCATAAAAATTGTTTCTATTTGGAAAGCAGGGGATTTAAGCTTTAATTTAATGTATATTACATTGGTGTACCGGAAGAAATACCACAGCTTACGGCAAAAATTGACAAATGACAAAATTTTGAAATTTGCTATTTTTTTGCATTATCGTTTTATTGAGACCATAACTTTTCAAGAAGACTATGTAATGGTTCCATGCTTGCTGATTTCGAAAGAAGAGTGTCATAGCTTTACACTGATGTGAGATATGTTAATATAATGTAACAAATACTTAAGTTATAGCCGAAACATCAAATCTGTCGAAATTTTTAAATTTGGTACATATTTTCGGTAAGCATGTCCTAGGGGCCATAACTATGAAAGCAATCGAGATGTGGTAATAGAATGACTTTGCTTTTGAAAGCAGAATGTCTAAGCATTAGTTAGATGAAAAATATGTATAAATATTAGAACAAATAACAGAGATATCGGGAGACTTGTTTTCACATTTGGGAGACTTGTTTTCTAAGAACATTCTAAAGGGAATGACTTTCAAATCAATGAGGATATGGCCAGTCTGCTTGATCAATTAATATTCACTTATGTGAACTGGCTTAGTTTTGGTATGGTGGGGCGTGTGAAACCCCCTTGCTTATTTCTGAAACGCATGCCTGCCAAACGGAGTTGCCGCATTGTGGCCAGTCTGCTTGATTAATAAATATTCACTTTTGTGAACCGACTTCGTTTTGGTATGCTGTGACGTGTGAACCCCCCTTTTTTACTTCAGAAACGCATTGCCTGTCAAACAAATAATCCCTAATTATGCATAATTTAATAACAAGTCATGCGACAAGCAATAGGTGGGAGTTTTTGAAGTGTCAGTTGGGTAACATGTTTTAATTATCACCCCAAAAAAATTAACAAGAATAATCAAAAAATGTCAACAAACAAAAACAGACTATGTTGACACATTTATGCATATCGGGTGTGTGTCAATTTTCTTTCCCAAAACAAAAATAAACATAAATGAGGCATAAAATTCAAATCTGAAAGTTATAAATTCAAATTTTATTTGGCTACTGTGCGTTATGTTATCCAATGTCTTGTGGATTATTACAGGTCTTAGGTTTGGATTCGAGATTTTATTTGTTTTGTTATTGCCTACTTTTTTATTTCGTTATGGGAATTAAATTAACAATGAATGGGATTTTAAGCTATTCATTTTAATATCCATTGTAAATTCGAATCGCATTGATGGCTATTAGGCGTATTACAAGTTATTTGCTTGTCAGGGTTATGACTATTTGCTTTTCTCATTTTGAGTAAGAGGATTTATTGGCGAATGCAACTAGAAACATATTTTAGCTTTCCGGCAATCGGGAAATTATGGAAACTAAAAAGTATATCCTATTCCTATTTAAATTACGAAAATTTATGAAAAAATCCCTGATTGGATGACCAAAATATCGCCCAAAGCGTGGAGTCCCAAATTCGTCAGTTTTTTTAGGAGTTTTGCGTAACCTCTTTCAAGGAGGCATGGCTTCTAAAGTTTCTCTTAAATTACCATAAAATTGGATGTCATTGAAAGAAAATATCCCAGACTGTAAAAAAAACTGAATTTTGTAGGCCTACCCGAAAAAAATCCAAAGATATCGACGAGAGCACCAAAATCTTTCACTTTGGCCATTTTGCAATATTCTGCAGTAGCCAAGTTCTATGGAGCGTAACTTCTAAAGTAAACGGCATATCTAACTATAATTTTCTGAGTTTGAAAAAGGACTCTTAATCTCTAAAAGAAATGAATTACAGCCACATAGTTCATCAAATACCAAAAATGAGATGGGAAATACTAATTTCCAAATTTTTTGAATATTTAAAAAGTTTCCGTAATGACTTTCTGGGGACCATAACTTCGCAAATTCTCTATAGAATATTATTAAATAACATTCTCCTTCAAATTATATTGTCTCATCTCTAACCTAAAGTAAGTTAGGTTGATGTAGCTACGCAAATACGAGAAATATCGGAAAAAATATGCAAGTTTCAGAACATTGTAAAATTCTTACATTTTTTGCGTAGTCTCCTTTCGGACTATAACTTTCTAAATGCTACATGAACTAGAGAAAAACTGGTTCGACTTCAAAATTCAAAGAAACTTTGAGGTTTAAATGAAAGTAAAAATTGTCGATGTAGCTACCCAAATAGCTGAGATATCGTCAAGGGAATACAGCGACCGGAATTTTTAAATAATTCTCTCTTCTTTTCGCAATCAGTTCCTAGGCCCATAACTTTTAAAATAGTCATGATATTCTAACCAAATGAACGAATTACAAGTGAGAGACCACCCTACCTTCAAATTAATGTAATTTATGTTGGTATGGCTTATGAAATACCAGAGATATCTTCAAAAGATTGCAAGCGCCCGACTTTTTGGTTATTGTAACATGTTTTCCGTATACACTTTCATGAGGCCATAACTTTTCAAGTAGTCGATATATTGGAATAACGTTTCTTGATATTTAAAGCGAAGCATTTTATTGTTCCATTATCACTTATTTTTCTTGATATAACTGTTAACATGCCAGAGATATCGCAAAAATTCGAAAGTACCCAACTTTTACAACATTGTTGAATTTTCCCGTAAACATTTTCCAGGGGTCATAACTTTTGAAATAGTTCTTGGGTCATTACAAAATTACATTAAAATGAAAGAGCAACATCTCCTCTTCAAAATGAGGTATATATTGGCGGAATCTCGGGTATTTGGAGGGCTAAAATACCCGAGATACCGCCAAGAGAAAACAATAAACGGAATTTTTAATTGGCTATTACTTGTTTCCGTAATCCTTTGCTAGACCCATAACTTTTAAAAGAGCTAAGTTATTGTGGGCAAATGACCCAATTACGAACGAAAGATAATCCGCCTTCAAATGCATGTACTTTATATTGCCGCGGCTAATCACATATCGAAGATATAGTGAAAAGTCGGCATATGTCCAATTTTGTGGATATTGTAACATGTTTTTTGTAAACACTTCAACGAGGCTATAACTTTTCAAGTTGTGGATGGATTGGACTAAAATTTTTTGATATTTTAAGAAGAGCATTTTATTGTTCCAATAGATTTTTATTGTTCCTAGATTTCTTAATATAACTGTTAATGTGCCAGAGATATCGCAAAAATTTGAATTTGCCAAATTTTACAACTTTCTTGATTTTTTGCGTAAACATTTTCTTTGGGTCATAACTTTTGAAATTGTTTTAGGATCTTTATGAAATTACAGAATATTGAATGTACAACACCTCCTTTTCAAAGTGTAGAAGATTACAAAGATGTAGCTCTTTAAATACCAGAGATATCACAAAAAGTACACAGGTGCTCAAGTTTTTAAATTTTGAATTTTTTTTCGTTATCAAATCCATTAGGGCATAATTTCTAAACTAGTTGGCGTACTTAGATGAAACGAGATATTTGTGAAAGAGTAATGTTTGGTCTTTTAAATTATGGTAAAAATTATTATGTAGCGGATAATATTTCGGAGATATCGGTAAAACTTACAAACTACCAAAAATCTTAAAGCTTAATCAAATTTTAGAAAAGAATGTTCCAAGGGTCATAACTTTTGAAGTGGTCGACATAACATAAAGAAGTTTCATAATTTTGGTCTTAGCTTCAAATTGATACCTCGATATACCGATATCACTCAAATTTGCCATTTTTGTAGAATTTTTACGCAAACAATTTGTTGGAGCCATAACTTTTTTGGGGTTCGGTAGATTTCTCTAAAGAAGATTGATTTTGAAAGAGGAATGACTTATCTGAAACTTGTTTTCTAAATTTGTGAATATAAATGTCCGTACACCAGAGATATCGCCAAAAGATGGCTAGTGTTGCAATTTATTTAATTTTGAGTCATGATGCTCAATGAATCGTAGCTTTGGATGTAGTCTGTAGATCGTTTTAAAACCTCTTAATTTAAAAAAAATGAACCAGAACTCTTTTAATGAGTGCAAATTTGTTGATATAACCTACTCAATGTCCGCGATATAGTCCTAAATTTACAAATAGTGCAAAAAATGTCGCGAGTATTTTTGATGAGTAGTTGTTCCTATATCTTTTTCTATAAGCCTCGAGCTTACTCAACCTTCTAACTTATTTTGACCTTTAATAAGCCATACAAGAACTCTTTTAATTAGTGTAAATTTGTTGATATAACTTACCAAATAACATAGGTATAACCATGTTCAAAAGCACTTTGGTTCATTAAAACCCTGATCATTGAATCCCCAATTCTATGGTCGAATCTCAATCAAACGTGCTAAATAGTTTAACCTTAACGGTTTCGAATACAAAAACTGTGTCAAATTTCCAATTTACCTACAAAATTCCCATCATAAATTAATAAACAACAAAAAAAAATGTGACAATAATACAAATCGTGACCATAATTTCAAATGAACGTCGTTTCAAGAAGGAGCCTCTGCTGTGTTTTGGCATTGGCGGCTTTAAAGATTTCACTGGCATGTAATGCCCAGACAAGTTTTCTGTTTAACAAATAATCTTAAAAAAACGCCAAAACAATAATTGAGTTTGTTCTTCATCACAATTCTGATTGTTTAGATTTTATTGTTGTTGCTGATGTTTTTGTTTTCTATAAAAATTTAATATCGTTGCTAATTGTTTGCAGCTGAAGCCTTGCTCTTAATTTTAAAGAAAAATTAACAAGCAATATTGGAGTACTCTGAACTTTAAAGTGCTAATTTGTTTAAATGACAATGCACAAATGTTTATACGCTTCAACTATTTGGGGGATTTTAAAAATTCCCCGGATAAGTTAAAAACAATTAGTTAACAATTTTAATTTCCTCCTAAAATCTCTTTCATGATTATTAATATCCTTTGTCTGTTTTGTCTTTCCAGGAAGGTAATTGTGAATCTTTGCCCCATTATATTGGTCGCACCAATGCCGCTGGTGTTGATTTAAATCGTGATTTTCCTGATCGCTTGGATTCCCAACAACAAATACAACAAAAATCGCTGAATCGCCAACCGGAAACTGCAGCCATCATTGAATGGGTATTGAATAAACCATTTGTTTTGTCGGCCAATTTCCATGGCGGTGCTGTGGTAGCCAGCTATCCATACGACAATTCATTGTAAGTATCCATGATGAACATGATTATTATTATCTACATTTTAAAAGATCGATTAATAAAAACGATAACATGGAAGATAAATTGGCAATTCAATATCCTACATTTCAAAATTATGGAAAGTTAGGAAAATGGGTTGTCGATTTCGTTTTTAGGAAAAATGCACACAATGTGAGAGGTATCTAGATTGCTAATTACAAAGTCGATAAGGGCAAGATATAACTCTGCAACAAGAATTTATTTCATGTAGATAGACCAAATGCCTAAAAAGATATGGACGATATGGAGGTTCCAAAATTCACACTTTCATCTTTCTTAAATGATTTTCAGCATATGACAGGAATTTTTACCAAAAGCTCGCATTCATTTTAAGTTAAGATGTTCTTTATTCAGAATCGAGCAACTTTATGAATATACAATGATTACTTCCGAAGTTAGGGACCCTAGAAAACAATTACTTAAAAAATATTAAAAACTGGAAAATGTTGGGTATTTTTGTTTTTTTGGACAAGTTTTTAGTATTGAATAAAATATAATGAAAAAACATGAGCAAAATTTTAAGATTACGTTTTAATATTTCAAGATCGGTTTATTTGCTGAATAACTAGCGATTACTATAGAAGTTATGACCTCAGAAAGGGTGTTGCGCAAGAAATTTCAACATTGGGAAATTGTGAGAGAATGTGAACTTTTTACTATAACTCAGGAATTTGTTCAGATATACTGGAGTTATGCATATCAATTTAAAGGCCAGATACTGCTCTTCAAAATCAATGTTTTTCTTGAGTATATACCGATTACTCAGGAAGTTATGCTATAGAGAACATGGTTACTCAAAAATTTTTAAAGATTGACAAATTTTGAATTTTTATACTTTTTGCCATAACTCAGGAATTTACCCAGATATGTTGGAAATATGTAAACGCATTTAAATCCCAGATATTACTCGTTCAAAATCAATTTCTTTCATGTCTATATACCGATTACTCATGAAGTTATGCTATCGAGAACATGGTTACTCAAAATTTTTGTAAAGTTTAAAAAAATTTTAATTTTTAAGTTTTATGCCATAACTCAGGAATTTATCCAGATATATTGGAAATATGTAGCCACATTTAAAGCTCAGATACTTCTCTTTCGAAATCATTTTATTTCATGGGTATATACAGATTACTCAGGAAGTTATGCTATCGAGGATATGGTTACTCGAAATTTTGTAAACATTGACAAAATTTAAACTTTTAAACAATTTGCCATAACCCAGAAATTTATCCAGATATATTGGAAATGTGTAACCACATTTAGAGCCCAGATATTTCTCGTTCAAAATCAATTTATTTTATGTGTATATACCGATTATTCAAGAAATTATGCTATCAAGAACATGGTTACTCAAAATTTTGTAAACATAGAAAATTTTTTGATTTTTAAACCTTTTGCCATAACTCAGGAATTTACCCAGATATATTGGAAATATGTAACCACATTTTAAGCCCAGATATTACTCGTTCAAAATTAATTTATTTCATGTATATATACCGATTACGCAGGAAATTATGCTATCAAGAACATGGTTACTCAACATTTTGTAAAGATTGACAAATTTTGAAATTTTAAATTTTTTGCCATAACTTAGGAATTTACCCAGATATATTGGAAATATGTAACCACCTTTAAAGCTCAGATTTTTCTCGTTCAATATAAATTTATTTCATGTGTATATACCGATTACTCAGGAAGTGTTGCTGTCGAGAACATAGTCACTCAAAATTTTGTAATATTTGACAAATTTTGAATTTTTTAACTTTTTGCCATAACTCAGAAACTTACCCAGATATATTGGAAATATGTATTCATATTTAAAGCCCAGATACTACTCTTTCAGTATCAATTTATTTCCGGTGTATATACCGATTACTTGGGAAGTTATGCTACACATAACATGGTTACTCAAAATTTTGTAAAGATTGACAAATTTTGAATTTTTTAACTTTTTGCCATAACTGAGGAATTTATCAAGATATATTGGAACTATTTAAAAACATTTAAAGCTCAGAAATTTTGCTTTCAAAATCAATTTATCTCATGTGTATGTACCGATTACTCAGGAAGTTATGCTATCGAGAACATGGTTACTCAAAATTTTCTAAAGATAGAAACATTTTGGGATTCTTAAATTCATTGCAATATCTCCGATTTTTCTTTAGATACATGGTTATAGGGTATATACATTTAAAGGCCAACTGTTTTTCTTTCATCCTCGAGTAATTTCAGGATATAACATCGACTACTTTAAAAGTTATGGGTACCCGAAAGCGAATACCCAACAACTTATGGTTCTTTTAGAATCGTATATTGGCACTTTGAAAGCGGGCAACGACTTTGTAATATTCTTATTTTTCTTCGTATGTGTTACTTATCGTATGAAACTGGTTATGAAGTTTCTTCAAATCGTGTAACCGGTTATCAAGAACAAGTAATTAGAATTTTTTTGTTCCTGAATTTTAATCAAATTTACTAATTGATAACGGCCGCCAATGAACTTTATAACACTCTATTGGTATTTATAACCGAATACCAACTGCTTACTATCAGTAATCGGTTATGATCTGGAGTATATCTCTGTTCTTTGGAACCGGTTATCGTGTGTCTAGAGTCGGTTATCGAGTCGATGAAACCAGATTTCCAATTTTTAACATATAATTCAAACTGCTGCAATGAATTATAATAAATTTGCAGCATAATCAGTACCGGTTATCGGGTATTTAAAATTAATAATCGGAATTTTGAACTACTTTTAGGTCGTAAATATTACTCTTTCTTATATTGGGGCATATATCCAGATCGCTAGGAGAATATATGGGAAGTTTTTAACAAATTTGGTACCGGTTACTTAATTTAAAAATTTGGTAATCGGGTGTATGCAACCGATTATCGTCATTAAAACACATAGAGGTGTATTTTAAGAACGCCAAACAAAAATTTGGGACATATTTTGTAATATTCGTACCGGTTACTTGAGTTAAAACAATTTAGTAATCGGTTGCATGCAACCGATTATCGCCATAAAACGGCAATGAGGTGCATATCAATGTAGTTAAAAAAAGTTCTTGGACATTTTTTATGAAGTTCGTAGTAATGTTGGTACCGGTTACTCGAGTTAAAAACTAAGTAATCGGTTTCATGGAACCGCTTAAAGGTTATTATAAGAGGTTTAATGGATTTCTAACCTAGTTTATGATTCTAGGGTACTTTCTACCCTACTATTTTCCTTCTAAAACCGGGTAATTACAAACGATTACCGGTTCAATGGAACCGGATTTTTTGCAAATATTTCAATTTTAATATTTTTTAATTAAGGATAAAATTCGAATTAGCATTAGGTCTTTGTTCGCTCATTATCGACCCTTTTGGAACCGGTTACAGTTTTAAATTAAAACCGATTACTCATTGTTAAATATAAAGTAATTTCAATTTTTTCCTTCTCTCTTCTTTGCAGGGCCCATCATGAATGCTGCGAAGATAGTTTGACCCCCGATGACCGGGTCTTCAAGCTAATGGCCCACACCTATGCCAACAATCATCCGATTATGCGCAAGGGTAATAATTGCAATGACACGTTTACGGATGGCGTTACCAATGGTGCCCATTGGTATGAGTTGAACGGTGGCATGCAAGATTTCAACTATGCCTTTAGCAATTGTTTCGAACTAACCATTGAGCTGTCCTGCTGCAAATATCCACCCGCCAAGACGTTGCCCGGCGAATGGCAGCGCAACAAACAAAGTCTGTTGCAACTCCTCAAATTGGCCCATATCGGAGTGAAAGGTGTGGTTAAAGATGTCAACGGTTATCCCATACATGATGCAACAATTGTGGTTTCCGGTTTGGAGGAGAAGCCCATACGTACGACACGGCGCGGCGAATACTGGCGTCTGTTGACACCAGGAATCTATAACATCCAAGCATTGGCTTTCGGGTAAGATATCCAAGATTTGTGGTGGTGGTGGTGGTAGTGGTTGTTGTGATAATTTCCTTATATGTATCGATTATTTTGCGAAACAAAAACCATGAATACTAATCGAATGAATTAAACTTGTTTCTCCTTTCGTTTTGTGTGCGGGGAAACTTGTCTGCGTTTCTTTTGTTTTGATCTCATTGCAGCTACCAGGCCAGTGCACCGCAACAGATTCATGTAACGAACGACAAAAATGTGGCTCAACGTTTGGACTTTACCTTGTCGCCGATTGAGACCAACTATGATGGTATAAGCAGTTTTTATAGTCCCTACTTTTTTAGACATTAAATTTTGAGTCTGTTCGTTTTATTTTTTTATTTCTAATTTGGACTCCAAACATGGTTTTAGTCTTTACTTATCTATTTGTTTTGGTTTTTTTTTTGTATTTACACAAAAAAGAAAAAAATCAAACGTTTACGTTTTAATTGTTGTTGTTTAAGATAAAACACACACACACACACACACCTATATATGTACACATTCCCTCACACATACACCCGCAAAAGGCATTTGCACAAAACCACCAACTACACGGAATCGATCACTCACACTCATACCTATGTGTGTCTTCATTTTTTCTATTATATACTTGGTTATGTTTTATTATGACATTCCAATTTTTGAGAAAAAGTTAAAAAAAAGTCTAAAAAATCTCGATTTAAATGAATAACTTCCCTTAAGTTGACCTATGGCCAGGCCACTTAAGGGAATTGCCAACTTAAATAAATTAACGGCATCTGTCATAAGGCATGTTCACACGGTGTGATTGGAAGTCATGTGATACCGAGGGGTCTGGGCACACCTCAAATTAACCAAATGTATACAATATCTTATGTTTTATTATCACATTCCAGTTTTTGAGAAAAAGCTAAAAAAAGTCTAAAAAAAATCTCGGTTTTAATGAATAACTCCCCTTAAGTTGACCTATGGCCAGGCCACTTAAGGGAATTGCCAATTTGAACAAATTAACGGCATCTATCATAAGGCATGCTCACACGGTGTGATTGGAAAATCTCGTGATTAAAAGGGGTTTGGGCACACCTCAAATTAACCAATATCTTATGGCAAAAATAACGGGAAAAAATAAAAATTAAAATAAATATTGAAAGTCCAGGTCCTCAATTCTTATTCTATGAAAATGTGAAATGAAAACTTTTCGTAAAAGCAAAGAAATGTCAAATGAAAAATTTTATAAAGGAAATATTTTCATATTCATATTTTCATAGAATAAGAGTCCAGGGGCTGGATTCGTGTTCTATGAAAATATGAAATGAAAAATATTTTCTTTATAAAATGTTTCATTTGACATTTCTTTCCTTTATAAAAATTTCCATTTCACATTTTCATAGAACAAGAATTGAGGCCCAGCCCCAGAACATTTGCTTGAATTTTAATATTTAAGGAAAAAATTTGTTAACCATTTTCTATTGGCCGTAACTTTTGTAAAAAGTGGCATATTTTCATGATTAATTGATTGATTTAGATAATAGAAAATATGATCTTTAAATGTACATTAAATAATATAGATGTCGCCTACAACATGCGACATAACTTTTTTATTAGCCGATATATATTTATAAACTAACTTGATTTGGAAAGAAGAATATGTTAACTTTAAACCTTGTAAAGGTTTCCTAGGGTTTGCTAACAAAAGACGGGAGATATCGGAACAATAGGAAACTTCTGCAGTTCTTGACCTTTTTGGTTATTTTTTGAGGGTCAACTTCTATTGGGCATAACTTTTTTATTTGCCGGTATATTTTCATGAAATGAAAGGATTTCAAAAGAAGAATATGTTAACTTTAAACGTCGTAAATGTTTTCTAGGGTTTACTAACAAAGGACTGGAGATATTAGAAAAACAGGCAACTTCTGCTGTTTTTGACCTTTTTGTTTATTTTTTGAGGGTCTACTTCTATTGGGCATAACTTTTTTATTTGCCGGTATATTTTCATGAAATAAATTGATGTGGAAAGAAGATATTGTGAGCTTTAAATTGATATGAAATATTGCAGATGTCACTGGGAAAATGTCGGATTATGGGGCAAATTCGGCAGCTAATATCTTGCCGTCAAAATGTGGGATATATCGAGAAAATAAGGCAGCTACTCAAATATGTGGTATACAAGTCAGTTTTGTGCTGTCTTCTTCTGAAGGTCATAACTTTCTCAATATTTTATATATTTTAATAAAATAAATTGAATTGGAAAGAAGATAATGAGAGCTTTATAGTGATATAAAATATTACAGATATCGCTGTCAAAATATCGGATGTATCGGGGAAATTAAGAAGCTGCTCAAATTTGTGGTATTCAAATAGTTTTTGTGCTGTCTTCTTCTGAAGGTCATAACTTTCTCGATATCTGATATATTCTAATGAAATAAATTGATTTGGAAAGAAGATATTGTGAGCTTTAAATTCACATAAAACATTGCAGATGTTGCTGGGAAAATAACGGTTATATCGGGGAAATTAAGCAGCTACTCAAATGTGTGGTACACAAGCAGTTTTTGTGCTGTCTTTTTCTTAAGGTCATAACTTTCGCAATAGCTCATAGATTTTAAAAAAGATAACTGGTGTGTAAGGTAAAACATATTATCTTTTAGTTCATAACAAATTTTACTGAAGTCACTCCAAAAATTTCAAAAATATTCGGAGAAGAAAGCGACTACTTAATATTTTAAAGACTTAAAAAAATTTCCGTCATCATTTTATAGAGGCCATAACTTTGGTTGTAAGCGGAATATTTTTGTGAAGTAACTTGATTTAGAAAGAAAAATATGTCGACTTTAAATTTCTAAAAGGTTTCCTAGGCTTTGCTAACAAAATGCCAGAGATTTTGGAAAAATTAAGCAGATTACTTAATTTTTCTCAATTTGGTATTTTTTGCGCGTCCTTTTGTATTGGCTGTAACTTTTTTAACAAAAGATATATTTTTATGAAACAAATTGATTTGGAATGAAGATAATGAGAACTTTAAATTCATATGAAACATTGCAGGTGTCATTGGGAAAATATCGGATATATCGGGGAAATTAAGCAGCTACTCAAATTATGTGGTATTCAAATCGTTTTGTGCTATCTCCTTCTAGAGGCCATAACTTTCTCAATAACTGCTATAATTTAATGGAATAACTTGATTTAGAAAGGAAAACATGTTATTTATGAATTTATAATAAATTTTACTGAAGTCACTCAAAATATTTGGGAAATTTCCAAAAAGGAAAGCGGATACTTAATATTTTTAAGACTTAAGAAATTTTCCGTAATCATTTTCTAGAGGCCATAACTTTGGTTGTAAGCGGTGTATTTTCTTGAAATAAAATGATTTGAAAAGAAGAATTTGTCGTCCTTAAATTTTGTATATGTTCCTTAGGTGTTGCTAACAATAGCCCGGAGATATTGGAAAAATTAGGCAACTTCTTTATTTCTTTACATTTTTGGTATTTTTTGCGCGTCTATTTCACTTGGGTATAACTTTTTTAATAATCGGTATATTTTTATGAAATAACTTGATTTTGAAAGTAGAAAATTTGATATTTAAACTAATATGTCGGTTTGTAAAGGTCACCAACAAAATAACTGAGATTTTGGAAAAAATTAAACGATTATCTCATTTTTAAAGATTCAAGAATCTTTCCATAATCGCCTTTTATAGGTCATAACTTAAAAGGTAGCTGAGTTATCTTTACAAAATAACATGATTTTTAAAGAAAAAACTTTACACTTTAAGATCTGCCAAGTTTTGCTTGATGCCGCTGGAATAGTGCCCGTAATTTTCGGAAGAAACGAAAATAACTTAAAATTTCAAGTTTCAATAATTTTTTCGTAATGAGTTTCGAGAACCATAACTTTGTAAATAGTCGGTGTATCTTTTTAAAATAAATTGTTTGCGAAAGAAGAAAAGCTAATATTTAAAATGCTACCAAATTTTCTTTTGATTGTTTGGAAAGTGTCGGCAGAATTAAAACAATTCTCAAATATAGAGTTTCTGTTTTTTTTTTTTTTGTAATGATTTTCTGGTTTTATACCTTAGTCGGTGTATCGTTTTGATATTGTAAGATAGAACTGGATTTTTATAAAATATCTGGATCTGAAAAGAATTTTTATCATTTTTTAATTATTTAATGTAGTATTTAGAAGAAGTGCTCTATGATATCACATGGTCATATTTATCGGCTGAATAATATTTTTTGGTGTTTTTAAGAATTTGACTACTTAAACTTTTTTTTTGTAAAAGTTTAAAAGGAGTCAACAATTTAAAACGACTTTTCAAATAGTTTTTTCAAAGGTTTTCTGGAATGAGCCCTTTATGGTTGCAACTATTATGCTACGAGCTTTAAGCGAGATTTTTAAGGCTTCACAGGTGATCTTTTAATCAAAAAAGGAAACAAAACCTTTTAACAGTCAAAAATCTTTCAATATATCAATACATAACCAAGATTAGTACAAAGTAATACAAATTAACACTACTGAACACCCCTAAAGCATTTTTGTACATTTTACTAATTTACCTCATTTCCAACACTGTATGCTCTATCACACCCTGTGAACCCACATGGCACATGCATTGTACTCTCACCTATTTATCTATCACACACTGCAACACTTGTTACTCTCTACAACACTACTATTGCATTTACTATCATAGAGTATTATATAACGGAAAGGAGAAGAGAAAAAAATTCCTACTATCCCTCTCCTTCTCTCTCTCACTAACTCATACCTATAAAAACAACTGTTTGTTGAGAATGGGAAACTAGTCGGGAGACTAGTTGTCTTTGTCTTATGCTATGTTCATATGATTGCCAACATTTTCTTAAGGGTGCCTGGCCACACATGAAGTTGGTTTCTATATTTTATATTTTTATAGCATTTTTTTTTTTCGTGGAAAATGTGAACAAAATGTAAAATTAAGGAAACTAATCAATAACGTGGCTAAGGCATTTTAAGAAATTGAAAATTTATGGCAATATAAGCATAATATTCAACACATTCCCTCCGTGTTATTTTATTTCCCTTTACTAGATTGGCTATATTGTTTGCATTTGTTATTATCATATGTTGTTTTATTTTATTTTTTCCTGCAAAAATGTTTTGTAAAATATTGTAAATTTTTATTTTTGTTTTGTTTTTATTTATAATTATGGAATAATTTCAAATCTACGGCTTAAATAATTGTATAGCAAACAAAAACACACAAAAAAATAAAATAAATTGTCTGTAATAATAACTAAAAGAACCTAC